GACAAATAAAAAACAAACAACTTATTATCAACAACAACTAACAACTTATTTTACCGCACAATATAAAGCCGTTAAAAACTATTTTAATTGAATGTAGATTCGGCTGTTAGTATAAAATAAAAATTATCTAATTTTGTTTATTTTTTTTTTTCCTAGAATTGAGATCGTGGAAAATAACGCGGACTTTGAGCAAGGCTGAGGCAAACGATTGTTAACATTTTGCCGCACACGTCAATGATATACTCTAATTAATATGCAATCTTTTTCCTAATCACGCATGGTGATCGTTAATTTTTTCGACTCACGCCAGTCGTAAAAAGCTTAGGGCAGGTCGCACATATGCAGGGGAAACATGCAGTTAGCGTATTTTTTTCTTTTTCACGCGAGCCCACTTTCTCCGTTTTTTCTTTTCTTTTTTTTTTTTTCACTTCTCCCGTCGTCGTTTCTCCCTTCTTGCGCGTTTTAGCGCGCGAATTGCTACTGCATTGCGTGGCCGCCGGTTGCACGTCGCAATGTTGAATATTCACGTTCTCCGCGGCCCTAAGTAAATTTCCAACTCCTCTTGGAATTGCACTCGAAGCCCAAAACCATGTGGCGGCGTAATTTATTTCGATCACGATATCGCGATCGCGCGACCGCGCCGCGCCGTATATTTATTATCACGGAACTTGCCGCGAGTGCCGCAGTTTATACAGCAAACATTCGCGACGTGTCGTATACTATAAGGGAATGACCGCGACAATAAATCAGAATCATTAAATTGTTATTATTTTTTTTTTAAGTGCCGTGATTCGATTAATCCGAGAATGTTGAGAAGGTTTCTTCGGAAATATTTAGCGTTCGGTGAACGTACAGCGGGTATGATATCGTGTTCGAAACGGATTCGCGCATCGCTTACTGCTAGCGATACACATTCGAGTGAATCGCGAGTGTATAAACAATCGGCGAAACCATCTATTAATAATACGGAGAGAGACATTTATAAGCGACGCGCGATCAATGATGGCGTCGTTCACACTGACTTATTTTTGCGTTACACGCTGTCGACCCTTTGGGAAGGGAGAGAATCAAGAAAGATAACGTATGAAGAAACTTTCTTTCAGAAAGCGCGAGATAAGAATGGCGCGGTATCGTAATGCGATACCGGGACAAACAAAACTTTGAGACTGCCAGTAAATTGACATTTTTGATATTTTCTTCACTGTCCTCGAGGCAATGTGTGTGTGTTTGTGTGTGTCGTTTACATAAGAAAAAATATTTACGTTTTTGTCAACATTTTTAGGTTATAATACGTAACTAAAGAGGGGGGGATGTTTTTAATCTTCTGAGCAAACCTTCGTAAGCTGGAGCGGAAGAAGGGGTGCGGCGGGAATCGAATCCAATTTCCCGTGACGGTTAGCGTGACTGTCACGCGTGTATTCAGAATTTACCGCGCGGTCAGGCCAGGATGGATCGGAACTGTCCAAGTTACATTTATAGCTTTTACGTGTGCGCCACGTGTGTGCCGTGTAAATCCGACATTCAGGCAGATCGAGCGCGGTTTGTGCCACCGTCAACGTATATATATGTATATTATGTTCCGCGCGAAGAGGCGAAACCGAACAAAGTGTGAAAAAAAAAAAAAAAAAAAAAAAAAAAAAAAAAAAAACGGGAGCATCGTTGAGTTTATTGCACTTGTCAGGCGTGAAGTGTACATAACGCGAGAAACGTAGGTTTCTCTTTCACTTTATTGAAGCAAAGCTTCTCCCTTGATTCGTAAAAAGGCTTTTAGAGCGAGTTGCGGACAAGAGCGCGAATTTACTCATATATATTCTGTTTATAAAATAAACATTACGTCGAAATTTTATTTTTCTTTTGCGCAGTGAAGATTTCGAGTTCGACGTGATCGGGAGAAAAATTTTCTGTGAAATTTGAAAATAAATAAAAATGTTCAATTTTGGAGTTTGAGGATACAGCTCGAGCTCTTTCTTTTCGGTTGAGTCTTAATTGAAGCAAATCTTAAAGTTTTCACGAATTTCTACCAATACTTGTTACGCGTTAATTATTTTTACAATAACACGCGTGAGTTTACACGCTGGACGGAAAAAATATTCAAAATCAATTTTTATTCAAGGATGCACGTCGGCCTGAAATCTATGATTTAATTGAACGGGTTTTTGTGAGAGCGAACGTTATTCCATAGAGGAGTTCCTTTAATTGAGAAAAATCGCTTTTTAATTAAACGTTCATAGCTATAATATTTTTTTCTCAATATACGTGGAACTTTTTTGTTCGTCATATGCTTTTACATACTATATATATAGCACATAAAAACTGTTGTCATTGATCTTTACTTTTATATATAAGAGTGCGGAGAAAGTTTGCTGAGAATATAAAACTCCGTTTTAAAAAACGTTTAAAGAAAGCGGCAATAAGCATAAGAAATAAAAGATACTGCTCTTTTAATAATATGTTTCACGGTATTAATTTATTAGAGAGAAACGCAGTTATAATAAAAAAAATGATAAATTCAGAAACGTCATTACAAAATCAAATATGTGTGTGTGTGTGTGTACGAGAATTTTAAATAAATGTCAAAACCATTTGTGTGTGTTTTCACATAGAACGGTAATAACAAACACAGCGCCAAAACTGGAACAATAATTCTTTCTGAAAATCGCGCAAAATATTGGTCGAAACGTTCACCTTCTGTGTACAAAGCTATAAAAAATTCAACTTTATTAACAAGTTCTATTCTTATCTCGAGTGAATTAATCGCGCGAATTTGCAAAATTCGCAATACGCGAAATCGCAAATTATTTGGAACAAATTTCTTTTTTTTTTTTTTTTAGAACGCGAACTCTCTTCCCTTTTCTGGGAATATCTCGATACAAACAAATTAAGCACCACCATTTTGTGCCATCTTTCTCAACATTTTCGTCAATAAAAAGCAACTCGTTTTCGAACGAAGATCATCATCTTCACCACGTGCACCATCGTCTCTTCTCTCACTCTCGGTCTTCACACACGACGAGCCACTCGATTACGTTCACGTGGCACGTGTTCTTTGTGGAACGTAGAAGACGAGTGGACGAACGAGAGCGCGCGTCGCGACACCCTGGAAAAGGCGAGGAGGCGGTCGCGTGTTGGCTGACGGAACGTATGTACGTAGATGCGATACCTAACCTATACCTGCATACACACGCGGCCACTTATTAGTTATTAACGCGACCGAGCGGCCGCGTTTTTCCACTGAGGGTGTGCTCACGCAGCACGTCACCGCGGAGGATCGATCCTCGGCCACGAGGTCGAGGGTTGAAAAGTGTTACGAGAGGGAAGGAGAGAAAGAGAGAAAAAGAACGAGCAAAAGAGAGAGAGAGAGGTTCGGTTTTGTGCACAGAGAGTTTTCTTCCTAGCCAAAACCGTACCGAGGAACCGCCCTTAACTCTATCAAATTTTTAGCAGACCGCGCGTCGACTCACGTCAGCGGTTTCTCCCGAAAGAAGACCGAAGAACCCTCTCCCGAAAAACGGATGAGGATCGATGAAGAACGGGAACGATAAGAAAGACAATAGATCTCTCTCTTCCTCTCTCGAGTAGCTAAAAGACAATCAGGAAGATATCTTACGAGTATAGATTGTTCTTCAGACGTTCTCGTCAAGTTCTTCAGACCAGTTCTCGCCAACCACCAGTTTTCGAGCGTGAATGTTTGTGCAGGAGCTCGAGTGCCGGTATGTTGTCTTCAGGGAATAGGGTTATTAGTGGCGTGTCACAGAGCTGACGCAATGTTTTTTCAAGGGCGACAAAAATTCTACAACAACAAAGTCGCAAAATCTTCCGTCGCTGCTGAAGAAGATTGCGACATTGATGACAAAAAGCCGAAATAAAAAAATTCACGGATGTTCCGCGCGCTTCAAACCAAATTCTTCGCCGACTTCCAAGACGTGATTATTTCCTATCTTAAACACGCTTGATGATTAATCTCGGTAAAAAAAAAAGAAAAAATTAACACGCAACGTCGCAAAAAAGTATTGCGGATTATATTCCAGTCGCATGTAAAATCCGATCATTCGTCAAGATTAAAAAAAAAAATAAAAAAAGATTTACAGTTCTCTTCGATTATTTTGATATTTGACGTGTCCGAGACTTTTCCGAACGAGCTGTTATATCGCCAATGGCAATATTTTTCGAAGGAACACCTGATGCTATTCCGCACGGGATCACTTTTAAAAAGCTTTGAGAATTGGTATGCTCCGACTAAAAACCCTTTCGAGAGAAACAAACTTTCTCTCTTCGGCGAACTTTAATTACAGATCTTTCTAATCAGTTGAAAAATCAGTCTTCGTCAAACGACGTCGTCGCGCGTCGTTCAATTATTCCGATGATCGGAGCGCTAATCCTTAACGCCCCTTTCCCGCGACCAGCACGCAGTTCGTATTGCAATGGTAATAATTTTTTTTTTCTTTTTTTTTTTCAAGGCAACACACCTGCCGCTCGCGCGACCTCATATGCGAACAAACAAGCGCGAAGCCAATTACCGCGACGACGACGGCTTGGTGCGGGTCGTATATTCGCGGACGATAGGAATATATCCGTAATTCTGTTTTTCTCGGTAATGAACAGGCGCCACGAGAGCACACAAACGCTAGGATTTGCCTCGAGCGAAAACCTAGTCGTGGAAACGAGGGAGAGATATGGACGCACGGTGCCATCTCGATGTCTGATCGGCACGACATCTCCGCGATATCGCGGACGTGTATCGCGTTACAGTGTGCCGTGGATTTTATATACAGAGAGAGAAAGAGAGAGAAAAGAGAGACCAAGCGAGTGACTCGGATAATGGTCTCAAAGATGGCTAATTTTCTGATCTTGTATCCTTCTCCGCGGAACACATGGAGGCAAGCGGAGAAAGAGACAGAAGAGAGAGAGAAAGACAGAAAGAGAGAAAAAGAGAGAGAGAGAGAGAGCGCGAGACACAGATATGCGGAGAGAAGGTGGACCGATCGAATGGGGGAACTCACGTCTCTCATCTCGCTGCCGCGGCGACGTGCTCACGTGCGAGCGTCGTCGTTCCAGCGAGTCCGGTGCTTACGACGACGACGACGGCGGCGGCGGCGATGACGATGAACCACCACAATTGTTGTAGCGCGACGCGCGATGCACTACTGCTCGCTGCTGTTACGGTCGCGCACGTCTCACGATGCGCCAGGCGCATCGCCCCAACAACCACGGCACGAAGCTCACGACTGGCAAGCTGCGAGCGAGGGTTGCTTCGAGTTCACCGGCTCGCCTGGGGGATGGAAATGGCGACGAGGAAGTGGTGACGGGGGAGGAAGCGACGGACGTCGCGACTCCTGTCGGCTCGCGCGGAAAACCGGCCTCCGTGCAGAGAGGGTGTCGGTACTAGGAAGGGTTACTATAGGGAGACTCGCTACACACGAAGGGGATGTTATTTCGGTATTCGCGCGGTACGGATTGGCAGTTGGTGTTTTATTAAACTCTTTCGAAAGACGAGATTGCAAATGTCCGAGATTATTAGTGTCTAATTAATTTCGAATGTTTTTGAAAGATCCTGTATTTTTTTCCTTATATTTTAGTTTTTATATTCTTGTTTCCAACAGACGTATCGTTTACGTATTTTCGTTATCCCGCACTCTACGTTTGAATATACAGTCTTTGTTATATCGATTTCTGACAATTAAAATTTTCTTACGTAATTTCAGTTAATTAGGGAGAATATTAATTACACAATTGCTTCCTTACGTAAATACGCGAATCAATAGTATTAACCAGATGAACGCGGCATTGAGGCTATTTTCCCGTGGATAATGAGACACCGGGGACCGTACGAGCGTGACGGGAACTGTTACTCTGACGTCACAGAGAGAAGATCCGAAACGGAAAAGCGAAGTAACGAATTATTTGGCGCACACGTATGCCTCGCCGCGAACGCGGCAGACGGGAATTCACTTCCAATTCGATATCAATTAAACTCGAGAACACCGCGCGCGCATGAGAGAGAGAGAGAGAGAGAGAGGGAGAGAATGTGTGTGTGGATATATCCGAATTCCTCCGGTTCACCACTTCTGACGTAGTCGTAGTCGACGTCGGCGGTGGTGGCGGCGGCGGCCTTGAACCACTTTGCTTTTACGAAACCAATCACGATATCGCGCGGCATGATCTCGGTATCTCGCGGTTGCTCCTTTCGCGAAACCGTTCGTTGTTCGGGTCAACACATTCGACGAGATGCTGCCCTCGGTTGAAAAGCAGCAACTTTTAAATTATCTCGCCGTGGCAAAAATAGGTCGTTCTAATTTAAACGTCTCGACCAGAACCCTCCCGTTCAAGGTGGCCGAGATGATTTTTGCATGAATTTGATGCGAACGATATTTTCTTCTTATCTTACCTGCGTCATGTTTATGCATTTTTTTCGACTTCAGACTCTTGTCTCTGACCAAATGGCGGGAGAGAGAATGAGAGAATTTCGTTTAGTGTTGCGTTCTACGAATCTTATTTCGAAATACGCGTTTGTTGAACACAACGATGATTGTCTTTCTAGCGGTATAGGTGATGTGACTCTAAATGAGAGTTAAAGATACGAAGACACGTTAAAAAATAAGAACTTTGACTAGTCACTCCTGAGATTTTAACGTTCAATCGAATCGAACTTTCCGTTCTGTTCTATTTTTTTTTTTTTTTTTTCAGATAACCAACGCTCTCTTGACAGACTTTTTCCGACAATTCGCAAAGACAACAATCCACCTGCATACCTTCCACTCGAGTTCGTTCAATCGGGTTCTTGAATATTTGCATCAGGCTATTGAAAATAACCGTTGCGCAATCCTTCTCTTCTCGTCAAACGGCAAGGTAAGCAGCTTTCCAGTAGAAGTAGAAACCATTAGCCTTGTTTAACTTAGAATCTTATACCTGTATACCTTTGTATAAGTATTCGAGTACTTGCACCTCGCGGGAAAATCAACAGGTTCGCGTGCCGGATGTGCCGACACGCCGGAAGTCCACTCGTCGGCCACATGAAATCGTTCTGCATGATACCGATCGAGGTACTACTTTTCACCCCCCCCTCTCTCGTGCGGTGTTTGTTTACAAATTAATTACATAAGACGATACAGAGAGTTAGGATGTTAATCTCTTTTGTGCTGCGCGCGCAAAAAACGAAATTAAATTACAACGAAACAAAATTTACTTCTCCCGTCCCATTTCTCTGGGAAAGCTCTAGCAAGGATGTCGTTTTTTTTTTTTTTTATATAAAAATATCGGTAATGAAATGGATAATAAACACCATGACGAAGCATGACGGAAACTGTCCAGCAGTTATTAAAAACTCCACGTCAAGCATGATCGCAAGCGGGTTAACGGGGGGTGATAAAAACGAGAGAAGAGGCGCGCGCGCGCGCAAAATTGAAAAGGCTGTCGAGAGAGAAAGCTTTTCGGCTCGTCACAATAGCTAGACGGTTGGGTAGGAGGAGGGTTATTGAACGGGAGGAGATGATAAAAACATATTACACCGTACGTGTGTAAAAGTGTAGGCCATCTATTCTCATTCTTTTGTCAGATCGTGCTACACATATATGTATATATAGAGAACTTCGTTTCGCCGGAGAAACAATTCCGTCAGTTAGGTGAGGAACGTCCGCGCGTGTGTATCATATACGTGTGAGAAATGTACAGCTACTTATATTAAAATAAACAGAGAGATATGAACGAAGGGAAGGGTTGCGCGAAGGGAAAGTAAGTACAAAATTGTGTAAGACCACAACGTCTCAGGGGAAACCTTACTCGAACCTAAAAGAAAAAAAGTATCGTCGGAATGCTCGACCATATATTTTGTTCCCGCTCTGTCTTTCTTTTTTTTCTAGCGCCATGTCACTTTGCGCCATGCTACGTATAAAAGAAAAAAACACGAATTTTTTTAGTAAAGTGAAAAATTGATCGGCCGACGCAGTACATCGACTCTTGATTAGTACGCAAGTTTTTCTCGTTTTGCTTGACTCTCTTCGATCGAAGGCAAAAAAACCGGACAAGCCCACTTTTTTTGACAACGACGTTCATTTGGCGCCCACTTCGAATCGGCTTGGTATCGATCGAGGATATTGCCGCATACGAGGAATGTTCGGTTAAAAAACGTGAATTTAAACGTTCGAGTCGAAATTTTATTATATAAATATTGTGTATATATATATATATATAATTGAGAATACAATCAAATTTAAATTTATAAAAAAAACATATATAGAAATTATAAAATAATTTATGATTCCAATTTGTAAAATATTTACATTCCAGGAGTTTTTTTAAAGATTTTTCGGTTCCCAAAATCATTCTCGCTTCTCCATTTAGTTTATTTTTTTATTTTAAGTTTCCACAGATATTTGAAAACTTCTTTATCTCCAAATATTATGAAACTTCTTTAGAACATTAAAAAAATAAATAAATAAATAAATAAATGCGTTTATTTGTGCGGTTGGATTTTCTATCTCTATTTCTCGTTGTCGATCGATAAAGAATGAAATGTCTCGCGAACTTCCTCGAACTTATTTCTTTTCAATTGTGTATATTAGAAAAAATGTGAGCTTGCTCGGCCGCCACGCGCAGTCGATTTGATTCTTCTTTTTCTTTTATCTTTTTTTTTTTTATCTTTTATCTCTTTTTTTGTTCTGTTTTTATCGCAAAAATCCGGAAAGTGGAGATTCTTTTATCACAGAAATTTCCTTGCCTTTTGCGCAAACGAATTCGCGACGAGGACAAAAGGACGAATATCGACGAGGCAGTTCTCTTAGTTTAATTTCGTTAGAATCTCGCTCTTCAGAGTAAGACGCTAGAGAAAATAGCGATAGAGAATAATTGACAATCATTTCGTCGAGCTTCAACGCAGAGCCCGTTTTTTTGGTCGAGTCCGTCATGCGCGTCACTACACGCAATATTATAATAATTTATTTACAAAACATCACAACTAACTTGTCTCTCACAAATGTAACAAGTTGCCCCGCGCTCTTGTGTGTCGTTTAATCTTTCTATAATCTCGTTTCAATGTTTGTGTTTTTTTTTTACGAAACACACACATGTTATATATATATACTATATATATACACACACGCACACGCGAAGTTCCGCCGCAAAAATATGCCTACGTTTTTATAATCGCACGCGAAACAATTGGTTAAAAAAAAACACATTTGCGATATTTGTACATCATTTCCTTGTTGCGCAAGTCTGGCAATCATTAAATTTTTTTGTTGTCAAATAATCACTGAATTACAATGTTATCAAAATAAATAATCGTATACACAAAAACTTTATCACATTTAACGATTGATAATTCACGATGTGTTAAATAAATAAATAACAGATATTCGGTTACGGATATTCGAACGTTCCGGTTTGCAGAATTATTACGGGATTCGCGTTTGTTTGTCGCGTTTCACAATATATCACAGCGATAAGAACCTCGTGTGTGACTCATTCGCTTAACGTGTTCCTAGAAAATAATGCTGCTAGAATAGGCTCGATTGCATAACTACGGTTGGAGTTTTTTTTATCTGAATACGGGTACGAAATCGTGCGTGCGTACATACGTGCGTGCTGCGCTTTCAATTGTACGTACAAATCGCGCTTGGCTTTTAATCATATCATTTCGGCGATCGTATTTTTCATTCGGCGCGAAAAAAACCGCGAAAACTGTCATGGTAGTTTTAATAAAAAAAAAAAAAACAATAACGTGCGCGGGAGCGAGATTCGCTACTCTCTCGATTTAATTAATCAATCGGAACAATTGCGACGCCTGATTGCGACGCGATAGCTGATGATCATCGCAGTTTTATATAATGATTATGTAAATAAATAATTATCAGTGTTTTAGATTTTGCAATGAGAGAGATACGATACGGCGAACTGAATAATGAGCTGTAATATTTTAATATGATAATTTGTATAAATGTTATATAATATTGCGATATATTATATATATATATATAAAATCAGTAGATATGTTAATATATATATTCTAGTTCATTATATAATATTACAGCTTAATATTCAGTTCTCTCTGAAGTTTTAATATATCGCATTTACAATTTTCCATCGCAATTACTCCAATCGATGTTGCATTTCACTTTTTTGTTCTCACTGTCACATTCAGCGATTCTCCTCGCTAAAAAAAAACTCATTGTCACTCGATGATTTCGCGTTCAGAATCCGCATTATTGTTCAAAATTGTCCTTCCCGCGTTACCGAGACAGAGAAAGAGAGAGAGCAGAGAAAGATCGTCGTGGATCTCTTTCTCGGTCGCGTCGTTTTTTGGCAGCTACTCAGAAGGCAGCTACCGTTTGTGACCGCTGCCTTTGCTCCTGGGACTGTCCGACGCCGCGTCACTGGACTCCCTTCTCGATCTCAGTATGAAGTTCAGATTGTGCGCGGTATTTACAGCGTAGTAAACGTTGGCCGAAGTGGGCAGCACCATTTCCCGATCGGGCAGCACCTGCGCCAGGGTGTACTGATCGGGACTGCCCTCGAGGCCGAGCTTCAGCATCGCGTTCCGAATCACTTGCGGCGTGCGCTCGTTGTTCGACAGCATAATCGACTTGTACAGCACTACGCCCTGCGTTTCCACATTGTCCGTTTCCATGGTAACTTTGATGATGTAGAAGTCCGGCGAGCTTTTGTGCGAATGACTGGGACTGGACAGTCCCGCGAGGTTCGGAGTGCTGCCGTTCGCTGCTACGGCGCCAGTCGGGGGTGCCAGACGAGTCTGATGACTGCCACCTCCGCCGGAACTCAGCGACACGTCCAGGGATGGCAGGGAAGAGCTCGAGGACGAGCTGGACAACTGCGAGGGTGAGGTGCGCCGATCCAAGGAATTGTGCGGCGAACTCGGGAGAGAATCGAGGTCGCAGTAAAACTGGGAACTGCTGGAACTGGATGTAGAAGCGATCGAGTCGTTCTTACGGTGACCTTGATGACCCTGTAATCGCCAACAGTTAGAAATGGATATCACGTAGCTGTATTTGAATGTTATTTCAATATATTTTGTTTTTTTCTCTCTCTCTATAATCCGACCTGCTTCTTCTTGCCGCGGTTGTTGAGAGTGTTGCTCGCTGGCGGTGGCTCGATCTGGCAGCTGAGCTTGTAAGCTTCCCGATCGTCCAGTACGAGCACTGAGTGGAACCAGCGGTCAAACACGGAGTCCGCGCTAAAATTGTACGCGTTTGCCGCGCCCTGCAAGAGCCGTATCCTGGCGAGCACTTCGAATTCCTTCCGTCTCTTGTCGAAGTTGATGAGACCATCGGCTATCGTGTCCGGTATTGCCGTGTCGATCATTGTTAAGTCAGTCAGGAAAGTGCCTAGATACGGTATCGTACCGTAACTAATATTCTGAAAGGGAATTTTGCATATTAAATATTTGTAAAATGCACAAAGAAGACAGAACGTCACAATGTTGTTTTAGTTGCAAACGTTTTATTATTTAAAACTTACTCCCGCGTGAGTATTCTGTTTTTGAAAGAGCTTTTGCAGGTGTCGATCACTCCTGCCGGCGGTATCGGCAAACTTGGCGGTGCCCTCCTTAATGAGCAGCTCCCTCTGCGTCCAGGCGTTGTTCTCCTCCGAGAATATCCTCTCCAGCTCGCGAAAGAGCTCGTGTTTCTCACGCGGCATGTACTGCCAGCACTTCTCCAGCCGATACACCGGATTGCTCTGCAAACCGGAAACGATTGCCTTCAAGCTGCTGAAATTCTTGAGTATACGCAGCTCCTGCGCAATATCGATCCACGTCTCGAGTATTCTCGCGCGTTCCTGCGGCTTGAGCGTCGTGTCGATCAGAATAGTCGAGATCACTCGCAGAGACACGGCGTTGAACTGATTGACGGTTGCCACCACTGTGGCGGCCTCATGACTCCTGGAACGATCCTTACGAGACCAGACGGCGCCGAGGCATTGATGGGCGACGAGTTTCTTAAACACCTCGGCGTCCATGCGGGTCAGCTGCTCGGCAAAATGACGATGCGGCACCTCGGGGAAAATATAGTTTCCCCAGTGATCCGACATCGGGTCCGGGGAGCCACGGGGTAGTCGGCCATTGTCGTAGACCATGCAGGAATCTGGAGGAGAAAATTCGATTTAAGAAATTCTTCTTGATCGAATCTACTCTTTCAAGAGAAAATAAAATGTAAAATGTTGAAAACTACATATTTTTTCTTATTGCTTTTTCAAAACACTTTTTCTGCGTTTTTTGTAATTTGGGCTCCATTTTATTTCCGAAGAGTATTACACGGTTTGAGAAAGAGAGAGAGAGAGAGATTTTTGTGCAAATGCGAATTCTATATACATAGTCGAGTGAAAGGTGAGAACTCTACTTCAGTCACATGACGCCGTAGCAGTTGCAATGGACCCTCAATTTACACGGGGAAGTAAACGCCTTTGTGCGAGACTGTGAACCGTTTGATTGGCCTTTCACCACCGCTAACATCCAGCTTCCTTCTCTCTCTCTCTCTCTCTGTCTCTCTCTGTCTCTGTCTCTGACTCTGTCTCTGTCTCTGTCTCTGTCTCTGTCTCTGTCTCTGTCTCTGTCTCTGTCTCTGTCTCTCTCTCTCTCGCTGTATCAAACAATTCAATAGATTTCTGTTCTTTCAAACTTCGTTCACGTCTCGCGACACAAACGTCCTCTGACTTGTGTTTCGTCAATTTCAACGACCTGTACTCTAATATACGATCTTTATCGTCGATAACGTAACGTTATATTCCAGAGGATATAATAACTCTCTCTCATCGCGATAATTCAGTGAATTTGAAGTTAACAATCCAAGTCGTCAACCGAATCATTCGATAAACACACATTGTCATTATCTTTTCCAAGAGACTGTGTACTTTATTTTTAGATTTGAATTTAATTTTCTGACAATCCGGTAGAAAATCAATCAGATCTTTCCAGAATTAAAATTGATATTCTTAAAATTCAACACAAAGATTCCACTTGTGCTCTTTTTAAATACAGTTACACGATTAATGTTTGGATTTCGCAGAGGAAATACGCGATGTATATTTCTATGTGTATATATTGATAAGGATTTCACACCTTGATCTATTCTTCATTCATCTTTATCAGTCCTCAAATTCCTTGTATTTAATCTTCGCACGCTGCCTTATCTATCGCGCTGGTTCCCACGTGTAAATTTCACGAGACTATACGACTCTCGGAAAGCGGGAAGTGACTTCGCGTCATTTACCTATTTGATCCTCGCGCTGGAAACGGTGTAGCCGATGCCTGGCCTTAAGCTCGAGCTCGGAGCCAGGAAGACGTTTATGCGTGAACTCGAGCAGCCTGTTGAGAAGAGGATGATTGGGAGGTGACTTCCAGTCACCCGGATACGCGTCCAGCCACACGTGCAGCGCCTGCACCAACGTTTTGCGATGCTGTTCGCAACCGGCGCTCTCGTCGAGAGCGTCGTAACGGGCGAGCAGCAGCTCGAGGACCTCGTGTGGCGTCGTGAAGGCCCGATAAGTCGCCAGGAAGACGTTTATGTACGTGGACTCGAGCTCGCCGTCGTCGTTTGCCAAGCTTTCGACCAGCCTCTGCACCGTGCCGGCCTTTAGGAAGCGCACCCTCACCGTCTCCCATTCCAAGTGCGAGATCTCGTCGTCAGAATCCTGGCGGAATCAAAGCGGAAGACGCTTAGCATATTGAGCGAATTTAATTGGCGTAAAAATTTATCTCGTTTTTAAGATCAAGAGTGGTTTTTTTTTTTTAATTTTAAAGCACTTGTTAAGTAAAACTTTTTAATAGTATTAAAAGTAAAACTTTGAAAATTATTTTAGTGGAAATACGGAAAACTTTGTTTATATATATACCGATGCCGAGAGACTCCTTGTGGGCCGATGATACCGGACTTTCTTCAGGTACACCGTGTATATAACGCCGTCGCCTCGTTCCTCGCCCCATAAACGCCACGTAGGCTGCAAGATTGAACGTCAAACTTAGTCGTGAACATCCGTAACCCCCCGATGGATGTCGCTGACAGCAACAAAGCCGATAACGAAGCACACCGGGGGGGATGATTTACGCTTCTAATTTACTCGGCGAACTACAAGTCACTCTCCGTCGCGTAACTTTAACAGAATCAACGCAAAAGAAAAAAAGCAGACGAGAGAGAATTCCAGATGGAAATAAACGTTTTAATTCTTTTTTTTTTGTGATTTTTAATTTGTTGTGCTTCGTCGAAATTGAGTCATTCGCGTGCTTTTTCATTCTAAAAATGCTTCTCATTCGCTCTATAAAAATCTAACGAGACACGCTAAACATGCACTACGCGCATCATTTTCCATATAAATTTCTTTTCGCTCTAATTTCTTGAATTATAATTACAAAACTTTTTTTTTACATCCTGAAAAAAGACTTCAAATGATGATCGAAAACTTAACGCAAGAATCAATCAGAACGAACACAAAAAGCATCACGAATAAAAATATTATCGATTGACATTAATTAAAACGAGATAATTAATTGGGCAAAATGAATACAATCCCCAGATGTGTTTAGATGTATCCTCTACGTCGTTTTTAATTTAATGAAAAATCAAATGAAATTCACATGAGTCACATATTTAATAAACACGTAGCTGCTTGTGGTTTGTGCGTGTGAGCAAGCATGTCGCTTATCAGAGCCAGTCGAAGCTTGTAGATACATAATTAATTTCAGCGTGATAAAGATGGGCGCATTCACGCGATGATGTAACACACGCGTGTTGATAAACTTGACGTAAAAGGTAGTTAGCCTTTGGGAAAAGCGTCTCAGCGTATCGCTGCGCGCGAAAAGATAATACATGCAATTATAACGATGCTTATCACGAAATACTTCCGGTTACTTTGTGAAAGTGACGCGAGATCTTTGTTTCTCTAAATAGTTTACATTTAATTAAGATTTAATTGAACTCAATATATATATGTATATATATATATACACACACACTTAATGACAAAAAGATACGAAACAAAGTAATATTTTTAACGTTAAAAATCGCTGACCATATAGAACGCCGCACATTATTTATGTACTCATTTCCGAAATAAATTGAATTTATTTTTCATAGTTTCACAGAATTTTTGATCACTAGTAATATATATTTGTACATCAAAATTCTTAAATAACTACTTTGTTCCTTAACGTTTGTCACTAAGTGTATATATATAACAAATAATAATATTATATATATATTATACATATTCTAATATTATTATATACATATATATAATATATGTATAATATATAATATTTTATATATTGTATATAGAGGGTGTCCGATAATTAATGTAAAATTTCTCGTAGCCAGATAGAAGGAGTAAAACTGAGTCGAAAAGTTCTGAACCATTTTTTTCTATTACATATAATAAAGAAATAATTATTGAATAAATCAAGCCAACAGCGCCGACCATTAGCCAGGCGCACGACAGTGAGCCGCGCGGAGCGCTCACGCACATCAGACGCATGGTTGACTGACGTGCGTTCGGCTAAAGGTCGGCGCTGATTGGCTTGATTTATTCAATAATTACTTCTTTATTATATATAATAGAAAAAAATGGTTCAGGACTTTTCGACTCAGTTTTACTCCTTCTACCTGGCTACGAGAAATTTTACACTAATTGTCGGACATCCTGTATATAATATATATTTTAGTATTACATATATAATATTATATATATGTGTGTGTGTATATATATATATATATTAACATACGTACAGCTATACAGAAATTTTGATTTATTTATTTTAATTTACTTCACAGACAGTTATATATGTGTGTGTGTGTGTGCGATTTATAAAACTGAATAGAAAATCTCGCAAGTATTAATTAATATACGTGTGTATTAAGAATATAACATTATAACGCACAACATATATTGTAATAAAAACTTAAAGTTAAGTATGTACATAAAAATAATAATGATAATGATGCGCGCCACACGCGTCCTGTGACGTTTGCGAGGCTCTCGAATCGGTATCGATTGCGACACAAGCGCCAGTCACCTTTTATTTACGCGACATTGAAAATCCCCGTAAACAAAGACAAGTATCAAAAGCCTGTAAAGAAGCTTAATGTCGAAATCCAAATACACGTACTCACAGTGACACCAAAGCGATTGCAACCGAAGCCATACAGATGATACACATTGAGGGCAAAGAAACGATCACACAGAAACGTGTCATTGCCACCTAGGTTTTTTTCTCTTGCGCCACGCGAGAAAAGAACTTATCGCTCTCAGCGGCAAAATAGCAGAGAGTTGAAAACCACGACGTATACGTCAGTTTTCTCTTTCACATTTGTGCGAAAGAGATATCGCACACGGATAATAATCACTCTCCTGGGAAGTTAATTAGTACATATTATTTAAGAATGAGTTCTTTTTTTTCTCGCGTGTACAACTGTATTCATAAAAAATAACAACACGTGCTCATTATTTATTTATGAGCGCACTTTATTTATGAGCGATATTCGAATAAATAAAGAATAAACTTGTCGCAATTTAAGAGATGTTTGACCAAGTTTTTGTTAGAAAAAATTCAAATAAGGCGAGAAATATCGACGCGACCGACGTCTGCTGCAAAGCCTAAAGTCCGCGTGCTCGGTCACGGATCCGGAACGGTCGAGCAATTAGACGGCTGCGAGAAGGAACCCGAGCGTAACTCCAGGTTCTCTCTCGTACCTGCGACGACGACTTTAGTCCTTGAGCGCTGTTTTTCTCTCTCTCTCTCTCTCTCTCGAGACTCGTCCATTGTTTAGCTGCGAAACGGCACGGGGCACGTGATGCCCATTCCTTGCGCGCGAAACTACGCGCGGAATATCTACCGATCGAGGCTAAACGAACGATAATTAAGGCGATTTCCGGTAATGAGGTTGCGTACACTTATATCGGTGTTACTCACCGATTGCGTCACGCGCGTCTCGAGATAATAGCATTTTTACACACTTTTATGACTCCTGTCTCTTATTTAACTTTTAGTGGATGGATACTTATATCGCGTACAGAATGTGCGGAGCTATAAACTTCACGTTCACGTCAAGCAGAATAAATAGTTTAAGATTGCGAATATCGATTTGGCGACGACGACAGAAAGAGAGAAGAGACGGACAAAGAAAAAAAGAGTGAGAGCAGTGACTCTCTCTTTCTCGGAGCATCTGAATATTAATACGATTTTGCCGCAAATCGGCCGAATATGTAGCGAGCAGCGCGAGGTCGTGGAAACACGATTCGCGTATATACGTCCGGAATCGATTGTCGTGTACGAATGCAAAATTCACGACGTGATGTCGACGTGATACCGACCATAAGTTAATTGGTCAATGGTATTTTCGTAATAACATTGTTCTCCGCGAAGTAACGTTTCTAGAGCGGACGGTGTTATTCGTGTCGTACATATAGCGAGTGTGGTTAAACAGCGTCGCGGAATCTCGCGAAAACGTCTCGCCGGGGGTCAACGGTCTTTTGCCGGCGAGGATCCCGAAATACCAACCTACCATTATTTCCCGTCATATTCTCGCGGAATGAGACGTCGTGAACTAGACGTTCGAGCGTGAAAATGAAGATACATCGTGTTTTACGAAATTTCTCTCCGTCTGTAAAGATGCAATCAGTGTCGACCAGTGTCGAGATCACGTGTGTCAATCACTAATGAGATGAAGATTCCACGTGAAATTTTTTTCGAAGAAGATCATCAGCGCGTGTTTTTTTAAGTACTTCAAAAAATTTACATTTATATTAATTTTCTGATGTTTAAAAATATTTATGTCTAGCTTTTTTTTCGAAGAAAATATCTCTTCACGCCGATGACGACGATTGTACGACTGATGCGAATTTATTTTGTGCCGATCGAGCTGCGAGGAGGCGATCGCTTTTTTTCATTTGTCACGCAGAAAACGAATACAATCCCGATGGCACTTTGACCCCGATTACTCGGTTAAACAACGCGCGCATGTGTGTGACAAGTAGTGATAGGTGTGTTTCAGTCGCATAAAAAGGATTGAGAAATTGTTTCGAATATCATTCAAGTGCAATCTCATTTTTTTTTTTTTTTTTTTTTTTGACACTGATCGACAAATAACATTGAAAACAAATTAAAAAGAATAATTGTGTCGATTAATCGACGTTTGAGTAATTCATGCATAAAAGATTACGTACAGTAAATTACGTGCATATGTATATACGTGTATCAGAGACAAATATTGACGCGTCACATGAAACTACATCGTGACTTACAATAAAGTGGCCTTCGAGAGACTTGGAAACATTCGGGATTTTCGCAAACTTGCTTCTGCGAATCGACTCGAACGAGTCGTGTGATTCTCGTTATTTATTTGAAGTCCGCGATTTGACGCGTGTTTCAGAATTTATCGTCATCCGATTGACAGCTCGTGCGCGCACGCGCATGCAGTACTTACACGATTCAATCTGCGGCTCCAATGTCGATATCATTCATTACTCTCAAGGTTTCGGATATAGAGACTGATATGTGTCTCTCTATCGCGTATATATATATATATGTATATATGCAAATGCATCGCACACTTTCCGCTTATCATGCATCTAGACTACACAAGATGATAAAAGCAACAAAAAATCGACACTTTTATGTGCATCTCGATGCTGTATCAAATATTCACTTTTCGATCGATCAAAAATAACTCTATAGCGAACTGCATGCAAATACACAGGATGTATCTAACAAAAAGAAATTTTTCACACACAGTTTTCTCTACACAAGAACAATTTTTAGACACACATTGTTGTCGGGACACGTAAAAATACGTTTTTTTTAAAAAAAAAAGCTTGCAACAAAAGTTCTTTGTTCGAAATGCTTCGCGGTGAAAATGTTAATATACAAGTTAATATACAATACACGAGAATAAAGCTTTTGTGTTAACAAATAAAATTCTCTTTGTGTAAAAAGAGAATTTTATTAATTTTTTACATTAAAGAGAATTTTACTTATAATTAAAATCTGCATAAAATTGTCGAGAATATGAAGATACATTCTGTTCGAAATATACATGACATGTTTAAACTAACACAATCATCACATACGGCAATTACCAAAAATACACTCAGCGACAGAAGCGATCAAATCAAACGGAACGGAAACTGAGAAAGAAAATCACGCCGCCACTCGAACTGGAGGAGATCTTATCGCATTCGACATGTTATCGTTTTGTAATCTTCTCGAATATATACGAATGTGTACGAGCGCGCGGGGATCACTTTCTCTTCCTCGAGAAGCGCGTGACAAGCGCATGTCAGCAACAAAAACGAAGCAGAAGGGACAGTCAGTCAGTCCACACAGAACGCCATTATCATTATCATCATCATCATTATTATTCGATGATTCGATTTGTTTGCCAATTCTCTTTACCTGTTGCACGTACCACTGGGTGGAGCTCTGACTCTTCCGGTGGCTGGGCTTGCAGGGGGCGCACAGCAGCAAAGGAGTCAATTTACTCACCCCCTTAGCGGAGGGAACAGCGCCGTTCGCCTCTGCCGCCGGTGAGGGCGACGTTATGGGGCTTAGCCCATCATCACCCCCCAACACCGGCCACAGCATCCACGTGTTTTGCCCTCTTGCGTCCCCTCTTTACCCTCTTCACCCCTTTCGATGTTCCTCTCGATGTCTCTTTCTTCACTAAAAAAGAGTAGTTTCCTCTTCGTCCTTCTGTTCTTTCTGTTTTTTTCTTTTTCTGTATTCGCGTCTTAGTATCCTTCTTGCAAAAAGAACGATATTCCTTTCTTTCCGCGAGGGAACTGAGGTGCGGTATGACGAGCTTACGCGGGTCCCCGTCGCCGGTGAACTAAATCGTCTGCCGACGTCGCGTCATCACGCCTCAGTGTCGATGTTTGATGACGATGTTTGCGTACGATTGCTCGGCCGAGATACAGGAGCGTATCATCGCATCAGACACGCTGAGGCGAGTCTTCGACAGCTGCCGTTGAAATCTAAAGTTTTGTTGATTGATTGACAGTTTTCGCACGAAAATTGAATTTTGCGCGTCACGCGGAGTCACTTCGTCATCACTCACTACGCGAGTAGTATTCGTAATTTCGTATAAATTGATTTTAGAACAATTGTCTCGATTACTTTTTTTGTTTCTTTTCTTTTTCTACAAAACTGTCATATTTTTTATATAAATCAAAAATCTTTCGGTAATCTATCTAAATTCTAATATATCAAAAAATAAATTCAGGAAGACTTGTATAAAATTGTATACATATTTTTAATCTTTTTCAACTTGTATGAAAATCGGAATTAGGTTTTAAATATAGCGATAATGTACGTAACGAGAGAGATAAAAACGTCTGATAAACACATTTCAAATGGAATATAATGCGCGCGTATCTATAGAGCAAACAAAAAAAGATAAAAAAAGAGAGAGAGAGAGAGAGAGAGAGGCGGAATAATGTCTTTTAACCTCATTACAAAGAGCATTCATAATTAATTATTTCATTCATAAAGCGACACTTGCGGCCATGAATGTCGAAAGCGCAATGATACATTTATCGTGGAATTAATCATCCTTACACTTGACTGGCGACACAAAGGAAAATGAACCAACACGAATCCGCGCGCGCTTTATATCGACAAGCGCTAATGGGAAGAGAGAGAGACACTTCCGCTCGCGCTCCGATGAATCGATAAGTCAATTAAGTCTCGAAAGGTCGAAGGTGACGTGCGTGTTTGTACTTTCGGTATAGGTGCGCGTATCGCGGCGTATTTGCGTAGGCAAAATAAACCCCTCCCTCTCCCCCGTGCCATTAGGAAGTTATGCATTTTGAGAAGCGCTCGTGGAGGTTCCGTTTATCTCTCTCTCTCTCTCTCTCTCTCTCTCGAAGTTAAAGGGCAACACGTGAAACATTGTCAAAAGGTTAAACGGCTCCGTACATCAAAGGTTATTTTATGGAAACAGAAAAAAATATGTATTGAAATGTAAAACAATGGAAGTGGTAATTTCAATTCATTTAATTCGTCTTTTAATTTATCAGATATTAATTTTAATTTATCAGAACAGTAAAGGATAAATTTATTGTTTTAATAGATTATACTTTATATTACAATTATTGTAAATTAAATTATATGTGTACAAATACATACTCCTACTTTTCCATAAGTTTTTCAATGGACGTAGTGCTTCAATAAAATTAAATTGTTTCTGTCACAAGATATAAACTGCTTCAATAGAAGTTTATAAAACATAATCTCGGTATCATAGAGAGAGAAAGAAAGAGAAAGAGAGAGAGAGAGAGAGAGAGAGAGAGAAAGAGAGAGTTAAATGCATTTGAAATCTCACAAGACCTCTGTGCAAAACTGACGCATACATCTTTCTCAATTGTCAATTTGTTACGTCGCAGTCACGTTTTGCCACACTAATAGGCGATAATCTTCATTCCGCGCATTGACCATTGTGACCGTATACAGGGTGTTTCAGAACTATGGGATCAAACTTCTAGGGGTTATTCAGTGCAACAGTAGAAAACATTTGAGTATAGGGACCCATGTCCGGAAAAGTGTCACTACCGCACTACGGCCCTAAGACGCGTTAAAATTTAGAAAGACGAT